GCTATCAATGATATGCTTCAGGTGTGGATGGAAATGCACATAGAAGTATAAATAATTAAAATGCATTTGCAAATAGAAGTATAAATAATTAAAATCCAAACGTTTGAAACAAAATAGATTTCAAATAACAACAAATGTAAAATAACAGTATTCTACCACATACCGCAGTACCCTGGGGTTCCACATACTGTCTTCATGAGCACTTGATGTTCCACAATTTTAGAGAGTCCAAAATCAGCTAAGAGCAAAAGAAAAAAGGTTGATGAAACAAGTCTCTAAGACAAGTAAATTTCTTTGTTATTGAAAATGAAACGGATTGTTTTTGTATTTGAGGGCAGATGGGTATGGGTGTGGATGATCACCTGGGAAAAGAAGTTAAAGAAAGATAAAATCTTGCTTTAACCTGGAGTAATAATGACTTCTAAATATACTTTATATTTCTCCATAATTCTCAGATTTTAATCAATAAACTATCTTTTTCTTAAAATAATGGTTATAGTAGTTATATTTTAAATATGAGACTTATGGCATAGTATATAATTAGGGGTATAATTCAATCCATTGGGGATTTTTAAAAAAAATCTAAAAGTTCATTCTGCTTGAAAAGAAATAATGCTATTTCCTAGTGCATTTGACAGATAAGAATTTACTCTCATCTAAAGAATAGAGACCACTTTTCTTTCAAAAAAGTCCTTTCTATTTATTCCTCAGAATTATTACCTTAGTAAAATATGACCCCAAACTGCTGGCATTATAAGCTATTTGCTGCACGACATCATTCTCACTCAGGAAACATCAGGAAACCCTTCCGGGCTATTCTTCAAGAGAGGCAGGTGCAGAATTGATGCCATTTTAGACTTCAAAGGTAAACCCACCTTTCCACTGAGGTGCCTGATCCCTATCAGCAAAAGCAGCATGAAGCCTTTCAGAAAGAAAGGCTCTGCTGCCTAAATTATTATCTATCTATCCATTTAAAGACATTTCTTTAAGGATGAAATCTTTGGAAGTGATGTCAAAGGAGATGGGAGCCTCCCTGCTGTCCACAGCCTTTCAGGGGTGATTATGAGAACATGCTGGCTGCCAGCAGGGCTTTCGGGACTTTTTGTTAAGTTCTTACCTTCATAAAGCACATTATGTTGTCTGAGCTCTTCCATGATATGCACCACTTCATTTTCAAAGGTGCTAACACTTGTAAATGTAGTGAACTCATCATAGGAACATTATAAAAGATGGCATCAGAAGAGCAAAGCCCTTTGCAGAATGCAATGCAAACCCTCGTAAGGAGAATTCACTGGAAATCAAGATGTTCTGCTTTGGTGAGTGATGATGTGCTTAAGGAGGGACACAAAGGGTAACCTGTAATGTAGTTTCCTAAGATGCTGATTCAAGGGTTCTTTGAGTTGCTTGAGGAAACTTGATGCTTAAAGCACTTGGGCGCAAACCAACAGTTGCGGCCAAGCCTGGGGTCTCTGCCAACCACACTAACCTCCTGCAAAAGGAAACCTATTCCTCCTCCCGAGGAACCACATGTTCGTGGGAGGTGTTCATATAAACACATGAAACAGAACCTAGATTCATTAATACGCACCTAGGCATTTTGTGTCCGTGTTCCGGTTTTTTTAAAACCAAGCTCCAATGAATTGGAAGAATAAAAGTCAATAAACAGAGTAATAAGTTTATTCAGCCCCCCCCCACTGCCTGCCAAATATTGTTAAGCTCATCTGAAGGTAAGTCAATAAGTATTGCTATAAGATCATAGAACCCTTTATCAACAAAATGTGAAGTTCCTGTTTCTCAACATAGTCTCGATTTAGGTCTATGCACTTCTGAAGGCGTTGTTTCTATCTCTGCAACACTTCCCAGAAGTGGTCTGCACTCTTTAATCTAATGCTCCACCAAAATGGCAGATTCTGCATTCTTCAGGGGCTCAAACTCTGCTATAAAGGTTGGAGAGTTAATGGGGTCCACTGAATTTTCAGACAGCCGTGCTCCTCTCGAAGAATACGCGGGTGCATTCTTATGATGGCAAACATTTCCTCAGAACAAATTTCCTGGCCTTTTTCTCACCCATACAGTTTTAAGCTTCTTAAATATTCTTCATAATAAGTTCTTGTGATCATTCTCTGTCCTTCAGGAAAATATAGCAAAATTGTCACTTTGGAATTCTAAGAAATAGTCAGGGTCACCTTATGAGCTGGCCTCTCTGCTTTGAATATAAGTGGTTCAACCGATCACCTCAGAAGCCACTGTGTTTTGATTGGACTTACTTTGTTTAAGTCATCCTAATGAAACTATGACAAGTGTATTATTTTTAAAAAGCTTGTCTGCAGCCATCCACTGATTAGAGACACATGTTTAGACACAATTTTTATTTTTTGAAACAACACACGCAGATATGAAGTGGCACCCCGTAGCATTACTCTTTCACTCGCCTTGTCTAGATGTATACACAAAATGCAAGGCACAGCCCAAGGTTTGTGATCCCCTCTTGTCCGAATCAACGAGAGTGCAGCGGATCGGGTTTGATGGGTTGGATAGATTGGAATCTCCAAAGTTCACCTTTAGAGCAGCATTTGTTCAAAATGTTTACTGCAGGGTTGTGTGTGGGGGGGTGGGGTGGGGGGGTGGGGGGTTTAGGGTCAAATAATATTTTGTCCAGCAATTAACACTAACTTCTTAACATTATTCTAGAAGTTAATATTCCAGGACAGAGGTCAAAAACTCCCCAAACCACGCATTATTGCTTTATAGATTCTAATTGTTCAGGAAAATTTAGTGAGAACACAACTGGATTAAGAAAATGTCTCACCGATTTTGAGTGGTGCATCCGGGGCTGGCGTTGCATAGAGAAGATTCTCTGGCTTCAGATCACGATGGACAATCCCATTTTCATGTAGGTACTAAACAGAAACGGTAAGAATGTAATAGCTGTATAATTATATTTATGTTTCCAATATTTATATTGAATCATTTTCATGATGGCAATGATCCTTACTAAGTATATAAGAGGTAATAAAGAAATCACTAAGGAAATATATTTTAAATTTACCATCGTTAAAAGATGGTTTATAGTTACTTAAAATTGAAATGAAATAAAATTGTGTCGAACTAATTCCCGAAATGAAATATTTACCCCTCAAAGGAGATATATCTATCCATTTTAAAGTTTTATTGGCACATAATCCACACATCATATAATCCAATAGCCCAGTCATATCAAGAAGAGTGGACAATCATTGCCACAATTTAGAACATTTTCTTCTTTGATTGTTTTTAGCTCCTCATTTCTCCCAACCTCCTTCCCCAGCCATACCCTCAAGTAACTATTAATGTAGTCTCTATAGATGTATCTATCCTGGATGTCATATACAGCAAAGCACACTAAAACAAAAACATTTTTACTAAAAAATAAAAAAACAACCACTCAGTAAAACAGAGATAAATTGAAATGAGAGCATAAAATATTAATTGAAATGAAATGAGACCATAAAATATTAAAAACTAGAACAAATCTAAAATGGGTCAAAAGGGAATTCAAGTGATAAAGTTTAATTTTAATCTAATTGCATCTGCAAAAGTCCACTTTCCAATACACTTCATAATAGTGAGGCTAATCCCATCTCTGGTCTAGGGTCCGAGGGTTTCATTGGAGGTTTAATCTATGTGTACCACCCTTTTAACTGAAACAGTTTCATTTTTTTAAACAAACATATTTTAAATGGGTCAAAAGGAGATCAAATTATAAGATATTACATTTCAACCTACATATATCTGACATAAGTGACTTTACAGTGGTTTTCACCTGGTAACCAGGCTACTCACATCCCTCAACTATGATCAGAGGGAATTCACTGGAGGCTTATCTTGTGTGATCCCTGCAAATGGATTTTGGTCTACCACTCCCATCCATATCTTTCTGCAAACCAGGTGTTCAAAATTTAAGTTTTGCTACCATTCTATCCTTCAGATATGGAGGATATTATTTACAATCCTTTGAATACAGGCTGGTGTTCTTCTACTGTATGGACTCAGTTGACACCTCACTTAGATGGCTGCTTGTTTAAATACAAGCCTTTTCAGACTCCAGATACTATTCTTTATTGTATCTGGGCACCGTTTAGTTTCTTCCCCGCATTTGCTACAGCTCCCATATCTTCAGTGATCTCCTCATGAAGGTGAGCACCTGCCAGGACCATGTCATAAGAACTAATTGTAAGAGACACCCTCTTCAGCAATGGAGCTAAAAAGTGGATAACCATCTGCAGAAGAATCAAAGAGGGCACATACTTCACCCCATGTGCAAAAAGGAATTCACGGTGGATTGATTAGATACTTAATGGAAACGTCAGAGTTATAAGAATATCAATGAGAAAATCGGGACAGACTTGAAGGCCCTATTCTAGGGCCTACACAAACCACGGAATATAATAAAGGGATTACACCCAATAGAAGACAATCAATTCAAAACAACAATGAGATATCATCTTCTATCCACAACAATAATTCAATTAAAAACCCCAGAACAATAAATGCTGGAGAGGGAATGTGAGAGATTAGAAATCCTATACACTGGTGTTGGGTTTGTAAATTATGTGTAATCATTGTGAAAAGTTATATGGTAATACCCAAAAAACTGGGAATAGAAATATCATTCGATCCCACAATACCCCAAAGAAATATGAGCCACACCACGAACAGACATATGCTTTCTTATGTTCATTGCAGCACAGTTCAAAGAATATTAAATGCAGTTGTCCTTTTGCATATTATTATTGTTGCTGGCAATGGCTAATTATTAATACAATTAAGGCAAGATTGTATGCATTTTAGTTTGATTTGTATGTGAAAATAATCTTAGAAATTCACATCACACGTACAGAAATCACAAGTACTGTCTGAACAGACGTTAAGATGTGAGTCCACCTTCTCCTCACTTACTGACATGGTTAGTTTCAAAAGAGCATGCCGTGAAAATGAAATGTGAAAACGAGGGAGGACCACATCAGATAACCAAACACAGAACTCCTGCTATAAAACAATCATATATGATTGCAGATGATCTCGTTACATAACTGCCAGACTCCTGAGAATTGTGGCCCAGTCAAGCTGACACGTGGCCTTCCCCATCAGCCAGCATTATGCTCCCCTTGCACTTTGGTATTCATTGTCACTGCCAGAGGGATGCCACTAGTGTGCAAACGGTTGCCAATTAGAACTCCAAATTATTGTTGTTAATTTGAAATCTCAGATAATGAGCTAGTCACTAAACGAGCATAAATGTAGTTATTATAGAAATTTCAGATTTAATATGGCAATAGATTCAATACCACAGACCCTTCTGAGAGTTAGTAAATTCAACTGTAAATGTAGATATAAAGGGTTACACTTAGGATTAATCTTAAATTTATCATCTCTAACTACCCCATTCATTGCATTAATTTTAAAAAATTGAATTTCACCATAAATGTAATATATTTTCATTGCAAAGAAGAAAGGCCTTCCTAGAACATCTCAAGAACAGATTTGATGGGTCAAACACTAATTACCAAAATCCACATTAGTTTAGATAAACACAAATTCATCAAACTCATACTATATACAAGAAGCAAACTATCATTTAAAAGACGGGGGGAAAAGACTAACGTAGATGCCAGAAGAAATTCTGAAATGTTCTCTTAAACATAGAGTAGCTAAAGCAATTGGAAGGAATGATGAAGTCCAAGAGTTGAATGGAAGATTTCAAAAAGCAGCTTAATAAGACAAATAATTATCATAAAATGTGCAGAGGCCTGTAGTTAGAAAGTCCAAAAGGACGAACACAGTTACCATGAAAGAGAAATGGAGAAAAAAATGGAAATACTCAAAGATGTGACGTGGCACAATACTGACTGCTGCTAGCAGCACTAAAGGAGATGGAAGGAATACAGAGTCACTGTTCCCAAAAGAAGTGGTCAACTGTCATCCACCGAGACGTAGCATAGGAGGGGGTGGCCCCCTCCCCAAAGTTCTCCACTGGTGGAACTTTCACAGCACACATTTGTCCTGCTAGATGAACATCGGGCAACTCACTCTGGGTTCATGCACCCAGTGTTGTCTCCTCAGAAGGTTCTCTCTGGTCACAGTGAATTTTTTGTAAAAGCAGTTTTGCTCCAACCTCATTTTTTGTGATGGCTGATTCAAGAGAACAACGTGTGGCTGTGAAATTTTGTTTCCTGTTAGAGAAAATTGCTGCAGAAACTGTTGTGATGTTGAACACAGATTACCAGGTAAGCACTATGGAAAAAACTCAAGTGTGTGAGTGGTTTTCCCCTTTTAAAAGGTGAAATATCAAATGATGACAAACCTCATGGTGGACATCTGTCAACTTCACAAACGGATGAAAATGTCCACTCAAAGTGCATTTAGAGTTTGTTCCACCAGGTCAGACTACTAATCAAGCTTTCTATTTAGAGGTTCTGAAAAGATAGCGCTAGTGTGCAACAAAAAAGGCCTGATTTGTAGCATATGGGGGACTGGTTTTGCCACTACGACAATGCACCTGCTCACACAGCCATCTCAGTACCCCAGTTTTTGGCAAAAAACCCCAGCATGCCTCTCTTGCCCAATGCACCTTACTCACCTGACTTCACTCCATGTGAATTCTTTTTGTTTCAGCGAACGAAGAGGGACACGAAAGGACAGGGATTTGATGATGGAGAAGTGGTGAAGAAAAAAACGAGGGAGGTGCTGTCAGCCATCCCAAAGGATGAGTTTGAAAAATGTTTCCAAGAATGGAACAGAAGGTTTGACAAATGTATAAAGTGTAATGGAGAGTACTTTGAAGCTGATAGGTTGTTTTGTAAAAAAAGTAAATACATAGCTTAGAGGAAAAAAGATCCCCATATTTTTGGCTACCCCCGCATATAATCAAGTTCAAGCTACAGAGAAGGGATTATTAAAAAAATAAAGTTCCAGGAATTGACAGACTACCAATTGAAATGTTTCTACAAGCTGATGATGCTCCGGGAGCACTCAAAAATCTTTCCCAAGAAATTTGGGGGCCTGGCCATCTGACTGGAAGCGATCCATATCTGTACCCATTCCAAAAAAAGGTGACACAGAAGACTTGGAAATTATCAAACAATATCATGAATATCACATGCAAGTAAACTTTTGCTAAAGATTATTCAAACACAGTTGCAGCAGCACATTGACAGGGAGCTACCAGAAATTCAAGTTGGGTTCAGAAGAGGACATGGAACAAAATATCATTGCTGATATGAGATGGATCTTGGCTGAATTCAGAGAATGTCTTACTGGCTACGCAAAATCCATCAGTCCGGTGGACCCTAACGGATTATGGGTACCACTGCCGAGAATGGGAATTCCAGAGCATTTCGCTGTGCTTTGTGGACCTGTATATAGACCAAGAGGCAGTTGTTTAAACAGCAAGGGAATGGTTTAAAATCATGGCAGATGTGTGTCAAGGTACTTTCATCATATTCAGTCAATTTGTGCACTGTATATATGAAGGCTAGTAGAGCATCAGGCCGGAATAAATGTTCACTGACAACCAGTCATAGGAAGATGACACCATGTTCTTTACAGAGAGCCAGGAGAACTTGAAGCCCTTGCCGATGAACATCAAAGGCACCATAGCAATCTGGAAGCCAATGAAAGGAAAGCAAAATCCTCACCACAGGACCACTACATAAGAACATCACAAGCAGAGGAATGACTGAAGTTGTCAAGATTTCACTGTGCTTGGGGCCACAATCAGTGCTCTTGAGAACAGCAGTCAAGAAATAAAAGGACATATTGCATCAAGGAAATCTGTTGCTGAAGCCCACTTTTAAATGTTAAATAGCAAAGACATTGCTTTGAGGAACAGGTGTCATGGCATTTGCAATCACCCCTTACG